AGTACTCAGCACTCAAAAAGAACGCGAAAGTACTCTGTACCAATCATCCCTTCGATACTTGTACTCAGGACCGATTCAAAGCTCTCAGTATTAAGTGTCGAATATATGAGACATTCTTTCCATATATATTAACAGTTTCACTTTTTCAAGTTAATTTGCACAGTAAATTAGGGATTTATAATTATATTTAGTAAGGTGTCAAACATCGAGTTTCTGCATGAATTTAAATTTTATTGCAAATTCCGATAGAACACCTATCGAGGTATAATATTTGTATGGCTAGATTTTTCTTTAAGATAGCAAACCCCTAAAAATGGGCGTGGCAATTGTACGACTAAAGTTTGCAAAACGCAGATTTTATTGCGGATTTCGGCAGGATATCGCTTCGTTAACAACATTTGTTCCACAACTTTTTCAATTAAAGAATATTCAAAAATGGGCGTGGCTACATTAAAGCCAAAGTTCGAAAATTTAGACTTTATTGTGGATTTCGCCAGAATATCTATATGGATTGAAAAGGTACTATATTTTCACAACATGGTCGATTTTGTCTCTCGTTTTTAGATCTGGAGACAGCCGCTTGATGGATATTTTCAGGCTGGAATTTAGTACTACATAATACCATGTTTCGGGTCCCGGCGAAGTCGATCAGCCTCATTCCGTTATTGGACATTTCGTCTTGGAGGCTACATTTTGCGACAGTGGCGTAAAAGATCCCTTCCTTGCCCACCTTGGCATTGAAATCCCCAAGCACGATTTTTATGTCGTGTCGAGGGCAGCGCTGAAGCTCCAAGCGCTGAGGATTGTGGCTAAAAGTTCGTTCACCGGGGTGAAAGCCAATACTCGGCGACTGACTCTCTCTCCCACTACAAATCCAACACTGAATTTTCGCTTCATTACGTGGCAATTGCCTTATATTTCGTAAGGCTCAGCGATTGCATTGCCTTGCCCCGTCCATCGCATTTTTTGGATGGCGGTGATGTCGGCCTTTGTCTTCTCGAGGATATCAACCAGTGGGGCAGAGGCACCTTCCCCTTTAAAGGTTCGGAAATCCAAGTGCGTACCCTCAAATCATAGTCCTTAATACGTTTGCCGTAGTCGTCACCAAAAGAAGGGGTTCTCACCCGAGGCATGTTTTTCTTTTTCAGTGGGCGGGGTTTTACAGTGGCGGGAACCAAACTAGCGCACGAGAAGTTTTACGCCTTCTCACTTTATCTCGCTCCCAAATGGGTGTTTGGTACCCAGAGGATACGTGGATGCAAATATCCAGACTTTGTTAGCTGCGAATTGACCCGTACGCACTTTCCCACTTACGTGGACTTCTGCGCACGGAACCATCCTTCAATACAATACATTTTAATCAATTTGAACTGTAAATATAAGACATATATATATATCTCACCTCCGGTGACATCTATCCGACCAATTTTTAAATTATGTATTTATTTTTACGCGTCTAATAGATATTTTGAATCTGAATGGAATTGAACTGTAAATATGGCTTTAATAAATATCTCGAATCTAGTGCTAGCTATCGGATTTTTTTACTTATGCACAATATACTCCAATAACGGTTGCCATTTCCAATTTATTTTTCGGACCAAAAAATGTACCAAATGGTAAAAAATTTACCAATTTTTATTACATCGGGAAATTGAGTGGAGTTTATTCCTCTTTATCAAGAAAATATGCCAATTCAGTTTTCATAAGGATTTTTTTATATCGCATCCAAAGTTCATAACAATTGAATATTATTAACATTATATTATTTAAATTTTTAAATTATAATTTGTTTCATAATTTCATTTTTATTAATGCTAAATCAAACAATTTGTACTCAGCTATTGCGGAACTGTAAGGCACACTAAAAATGTTATGAACTAAATCACCCAATTCTCCAAAGGCTGATTTACCCAATCCATTTTTAATCAAACTTACTTGATCCCAAAAATGTTCTATGCACATTGGTACCGTTTTTGAAGTTACCTTCACTCAGCCTCAATTTGCATAATTGAAATTCAATTATGTCTGCATCATTTACCAATGCAGGAAATCGGTCGAGTAGCGGCAAAATTGATACATCAGTATCATGTGGTGTAATAATTTCAAGATGTTTAATATCTTATCGATTGAAATCGAATATTATTGTGATGTGCTAAATGCTCTGATTAAAGTTTCCATCCTCTCCATATTTTTGCCAGCCACTTTAATATTGGTCACCGAGTAATTGAAATTAGCAAGAAACCGCGATATATTTTGAAGCGAGCTTTGGCAGATGATTGCCACGCCATATTTAAAGATCAGTGGCAAGGCGAGTTCACACTTTTAGCAGGTGTTGCCAATCGGCCCTATGCTGAATATCGTCATCGTCATCGTCGACCATTGTCAGCGCAACAGCAAAATGGCTGACGATGGCCGTACCGTCACTTTTACTGACGGGGACGATATTCAACATAGGTATAGAAAAAATTGAAAACACGAAACTATTGCATGAAGTGAAAGGGTGATAATAACCTAACCAAAGGCTTGTGAAATGGACTATTTTAAAAAGAATTGGACCAATGGACCAAACGAAAAGAAATGGACCAAATTTGGTCCATTTGGACCAAACCCGGAACTGTGACCCCAATACAAGTACAATATATGTATACAATAAAGTACATAAGTACATACATATTAACAGACACCTTTTTTATTGTATGTATGTATGTATGTACATATATGTGTAAGATACCCTGCAGTAAAATTTAGAGCCGGTCTGTTAAAGCGCTAGTTCCGCTCTATACATTTCAGAACTATCTCCGAACGAAAGCATTGCGTTGGGATAGATCTAGATCCAGTACCGCCTCTTAATGCGCTAGTTCTGAACTAGCGCAATTTCCTGCAGGGATGATTACAGTATCGCAGAGTTAGTGTACAAACAATATCTAAGGATCAATACATTGCAAGCAAATGTTTAAATGCTCTATATTAAAATTCATGTTTATTTGTTTGCTGTCATTCCGTTTTTTGTTATTCCCGGCATTTTGCTATGCTTTAGATAATATTGACTTTGCACAGGTTTATATTTTTATTTTCCTTTACAATTAGCCGGTTGGTTGTTCAAGTCAAGTAGTCTGTTGCCGCGATTAATCGAGGCTTTTGTTGTTTGTGCTCAACAACATTTATTTTGACGCTCAAATTTCACTTTCGAATGTTGGAAATCGCTCTCAAATTTGTATGTACCGAAAAATTTCTCTTAGCGAATACGTGAAACGAAGAGAGTCGAAAGTACATATATATAAATATTTTCCTAGCTTTTAAGATGAGAGTGCCGTGCATGTCGGTCAGCAGATGCACAGGAAAATGCCGCTAAGAGCACTTTGGGTGATGACGCTGGGCGGCAGGAGGCCGCAACTACCTGTGCGAACAGTGAACTAACTCGAAAATTTTAAATTCAAAAGTGTTTGTACATATGAGGTTCCGTTTCGTGTATGTATATACGCAAGTATATACATACATAATATGAACAGTGTGACCGCGGGCTTGTGAAAAATTGTAGCAGAAAAGAGACTTAAAATGTATCAATGTGTATCACTTTTTTTCATTTAAGTATCAAAGCATTAATATGGAATAAAACCAATCATTTTTATGAAAAACCATTTTCCAAAACAATTTAACATTTATTGCACGAGCAAGTTGAAATTATTTCCCGAGTGCGATTTTCGCAATTTCAGCTGCAGTTACACCTTGCAATTTTTATTGCCTACCAACTGTTGTGTGTGGGCACTTTGATGTCTAGATATGTATAAGCATTTGCCGCATGATGCCGCCAGACAACATTCGCTCAATTTCGGTGTTAAAAAACATTTAAATCTTAAACAACCTTACTGAATAACTTCCTAAAACGTTGTCATAAGTAATCCAATAGGGAACAGATTCTTATTTTGATTTAATATTAATATTTCATCCATATAACCACCAGCATGCTTTCTATCAAGTGAAAATATGCAAGCAATAACTTTTGGATGTACGTTGCCACAGGTGCACGACATGTTTTGTAATGCATACAAATTTACAGATTTTTTTTTTTGTATTTGGAAAAGTATCAAAATTTGAAAAAAAGTATCTCTCCAAAATTCATCGAAAAATGTATCAGTTTTAATCCACTTGGACAAAACGGTCACACTGAATATGAATATACGGTTTAATGATGCTGCTGTGTTGATTAAAGAGGGGTGTCCACAGCAAGCGGGCGGGTTCGGGCGACGAGCGAGCAATTTTGAAACCAGAAAGTTATGTAAACAAAATACATATTACAACTCCGAAATTTCGGTGCTCTTTCATACGTACGTATCAAAATGCGTAAAAAATTCCGTATACATACATATAAAAACCGACCTCAATTTCGCCAGCAACTGCGACGCTAGCAAATGTAGTTTGGAAAAAAGGGAAAACCTGCGTAATAGAAAACAATATACAATTTTAGACACTCATAGTTGCATATGTATGCATGATTATGTATACCTATACTAAATATGTTTGTATGCATGTACTCATAATGCGTAGCAAAGAAAACAAAATAAAAGTGACTCTCAAGTAAAGGAGGTGATAAACAAACGACATAAGAAGTTAAATGTTGTAACACAAAGATAAGCAACAAGAGGAGAGCGTGAAAACGACCAACTCAGCTCATTGAGCTGTGCAAATGAGGGAATAAAAACAAACTAGCGAAAATATCTATACATATCCATACGTACATACATAACAGGTTCTCAACGATGCAGTAACTGCGCTTTTACTTTTACGATCGCATATGTACTTTGTACGCCAGCTTCGGCACTGCCGGCGTTTTCCAATTCCGAACACCCCGATAGCGAACTCCACCGTTGTTGATGGTGGCAGTTGTAGCTACCCATCTCAAGAAAAAATATTTTCCTGTTGGTGGTGGTGGTTTTGATGTTGGTATTGGTGGCGGTGGCGGTTATTGGATTAGTATTATTGCCGGAGCGCGCCGGTCCGTACCGTATCAGCATGAAACGAAACAACCGACAACAACGAAACAAGCGAACAGCAACCAGCTATCCGATACCGATTCCGGTAGATACCGACCCAGAAATCAACGGCTGTTAGCGAGTCACCAGCTGGTAGTTGACTTTTGTGTAGTCGTAGAATCATTCTTGAATGCGCGCGCGAATAGTCAACACGCTAAAGTCGCAACATCGCAAACTTGAAACGCAGCAAAATTTAAATTAAATAAAACAATAAAGTGATTTTTTGTTTAGTATTCGGCCGGAGCGAGCAGACGTTCTCAGCACTCCCATGCCTATACATAAGTGGTGCATATAGTATAAAAATATCGTGTATTACCCCAAAGTGGGTGAGCGTATTTAGTAAAGTGTTTGTGAGAAGTATGAGTGTTAGTGCTTTTGTAGGCTTTGTATTTTTGCAAAGAACAAAGTTTCACCACATACATACATATACAAACATACTCTCACACTTGAACCGCTGACAGACCTGCTAGCTAGTTGGCTGGCTGGTTATTTGGTGCTGGCGAACAGACACTTGTGGTAGTAGCATTTTGGTCGTACGCGAGTAAGGCCAGATATGTAAACAAGGCGGGTTAATTGAATAAATCCAAAAGAAAAACGGGGAAAAAACCTAATTAAAATGCTGCGGCGTAGCATTTTAAAATACATATAAATAAAATCAAATACGAGAAAACATAACAAAATAAATTTTGTTCTTTTCAAAAATAATAAAACACGCGGCGCGGTAACACATCTAGCAGAAAGACAAACATTTGCATGACTCCGTGGAAAGCCACCATTTATGAAAAACCAGCAAGGCATCCTTGTCAGTTGCGAAGTGACTGATGCTGCAAGTGGAGCAAAAAAAAATTGACCAATTGATAAAATAAGTGCAAATTGCAAGGACCTAATTTTATTACAAATATATCTGTATGTATGCATGTGTGCATGTAAATACGATAATAAAACTAAACTAAAAGATAGCCAAAATACTCACACTTAAAACGTTTAAAAGAAACTTAGTTCGAAAAAGCGAGACAATCCTTGATAATCAGTGCAAGTTTGCAAAATGTTTTACACTCCCATAATTAAAGAAGTAAACTTTGCAAAAAATATGAATGTTCATATAAAACTTTTATGAAAAGAAGAAATAACAGGTATAGGGAAAATAATAATTTATTTCAGTAAACCGACGGAAATACTTAGAAACAACACTAAACAAGTAAATAAATATTGAATAAGTAGGCAAATAAATATAACAAAATATATAACAAAACCAAAATAAAACTAAAAAATATGTGAAAAATAAATACATGAAATCGAATCAAATTAGAACATAATACCTAATAAGAGGTAGAACTTCGATATAATGCATTCCTAATCAAGTGAAAACGGTGTATGGGGAGGGTTGAAGGGCGGCATGCACATACTAAAAGTGAAAACTCCACCTTCCGGAGGTTTATGGTTTAAGAGTAGCAAAATTCATCAACTATTGCGCCCATTTTAGGTAATTATTAAGAATGCACGAATTGCCACCGTAGATACACAGTGGAGAGCAGAAATAAGGGGTGCGTTCGAGCTACGTAATAATTACCACAATATTGCAGCCTTGTTGCTTTCCTGATGACTTGTTGCTGATGCTCGGCTGAAAATTTTCTAAAATGCTGCAGAAATTGCGCAGTAAAAATTTGTATGTTGCTTTTGATTTGCCAATGATGAGTAATTGATTGTCAAAATTTTGTTCCTCGAACGTTTGATGTAGGCAGAGTCGCCCAAATTTTCGCGTAGAACGTGATACTCTTTCATAAAAAGTAACACCGCAGCATTTATTGCAGCTCGAATATACCCAAGTAAGTACACAGGGGTTTTTCTTAAATATTTGCAAGATTCTTAAAGTTGAAATTTGTGGTTATTTTTTCATAAAAATATGGTTCATGCTGTAACTAAAACCATATAAATCAAACTCTTTATACGGAGCTTAGAAAAATTTAACAAATTTTCATTAAAATTGAATTTTTTTAAAACTTTTTTGTTTGAGTACGCAGTTTGGTAGCCCATTAAATTTTTGTATAATAAAGTGCAAGTTTTAAGCAGCTAATCGCGTTAATTTTTAATATTTTTTTGCTGACGCCTTTTTGCAATTTTTTCCTTATAAGCACAAATTTCTTATAAAAGAAAACGCGCAGGACCGTTTGCAAAGAAAGCTAAAAAAAATATACCCCAGTTTTTATAAATTGCACAGTGCAAAAAATATGAAAAATCAACGCGATTTTGCAGCCGCTTGAAACTTGTAATTTATTATACTAAAATTTAATGGGCTACTAAACTGCATACTCAAAACAAGAAATTCTAAAAAATCAGTTCAGAAAATTAAAAAATTTTTCTAAGCAGTGCATAAGGTTTGAACGTTTGATTTGTTTTGGTTTTGGTTAAACCATGAACCATATATTGATGAAAAAATAACAAAAAAACATTTTAACTTTAAGAACCTTGCAAATATTTAACAAAAATCCCCGTATACTCATTTCTGCTCCCTACTGTACATATAAGCCGAAAAATCTTAACAACAAATATCTAAAAAATCATTACTTATTGGTTTAATGAAGTGATACATTCAGTTAGAGAAAACCCCCCCGGCATCACCTTCAAGTTTCATTAAAAAGCAAGTAGTGCATTATATCAAAGTCAACGCAAAATTACTACTAGTTTTGTGTGTAATTTTGGCTATTAGAATAAAACACTGTAGAGGTATAACACTAATTAAATGTTATAATAAGTAGTTTTTTATAACCTATTAGAGCTTGAAAAAAATGGTAAATAATAAAGAAGATGACTTCAGTTGATATATCTTTTTAATTGTTATTCCTTAACAAAATATATGACATTCGTAACATCGCCATTACATTCACATGTGTGTACATATCGAGCCCTAATCGCCAAAAAGTCGTAAGCGCCATTTTTTTCAAAATTTTCTTTTTGATGCAGAAATGTTCCAAGAGCCTCTAAATGCATTTCTGCATCAAAAAAAATAAAATTTCGAAAAAAATTTCGCCTACGTCTCTTTGGCGGTTAGGGCTCGATATGTACACACATGTGAATGTAATGGCGATGTTACGAATGTCATATATTTTGTTAAGGAATAACAATTAAAAAGATATATCAACTGAAGTCATCTTCTTTATTATTTACCATTTTTTTTCAAGCTCTAATAGGTTATAAAAAACTACTTATTATAACATTTAATTAGTGTTATACCTCTACAGTGTACAAAGGAGGCGTATTATATTCCAGACACATCTTGCCGCCTTTTCGTCTACAAACAGGGTATCGGTTTTCATTAAGATAGGCGTTCAACTTGGCTTTGATTTCGCATTTTTTAATGCCTCGAAATTTTACACCGGAGCCTTCGTTTTCGTTCGAGGAATATATTGCTTTTAGGACTTTAAAGCCGTCGAAAACTATCCAGAGTGCTGCTATGTTTTTTCGTTTTAATACACTAGTCGAGTCGAAATTTAAGGCAATGCCGTGCAATTTTCCATACGACTAGACTCTCGGAAAACGACTTGCATTCGACACGACACTCGCAATGAGGCTGATTGCTTGTTATACTAACTATTCAATCTGTAAGCTAAACGCTTAATATTGTCAAAACATCCTAGTTAGGCAGAACAGCCACTTCAACAATATCATGTATACATTCGACTTCACAAAACATTCGCATTATTTGATGCGAATGCGAATGTCGATACCAATGTTAAAAATGATAGGTACTAATCATTCGCATAAGCGAATTCGAATGCAAATATTCGTAATGTCCCTGGTGTGTACATATATTAAAAAAGTAAGTGTTGTGGCCGCTTTTTTACCATATTACTTTCAAAAAAGTCTATTTAAACGTCATTATTAATTTCGAATTTGTATAATCTCAAAATTATTGATTATACAAATTAAGAGAGATACAATTTGTATAATCAAAGAACGTAAATCTACGTTCTTTGGTATAATAACAGTTTTGTATGGCTTTCACATTTCATTCTCTGTAAATTATTTTTAAAGAATTATGGCCTTATTCATAAAAAATAAAGTAAGTTTAAAAAGCTTTATAAATTGACGTTTTCATACATTTTTTAATTTATAAACCTTTTGTAAAGCCACTTTGTTTTTTTATGAATAAGGCTATTTGACTTTTTATTAGGTTTGTAATGCCAAAACGCTTGTCTTTCAATCCACGAGTTGTGTTTACTTTAAACTGGCTCCTGAAATCTATTGTCGCTAAATACATATCGCTCATTTACTTCAAGGGTGTCACAATCCAAAAAATTAAAATATTGAGGTAAGTATGCAGAAATTACCGCACCCCTTCTTCTATGTTGTGTAAAAATTTCTAATATGTCGATTACTAAAACAGAATATGTACTCATTTTCACTATGGGAGTAAATGTAAATTCAAAACTTTAAAGTCATTATTTTCGAGAGTGGTTTTTTGAGCCATAACACTATTGAAGTAAATGAGCGATATGCATATACATATGTATAGCACTTTTCATAACTATACGATACCCACATATTGACAAGTTTCGACTATTTGTTCGCTTTATTATTATACCCGAGCGCACTTGTGCACAAGGGTATTATAACTTTGTTCACATAACGGTTGTTTGTAACAGGCAAAACGAATCGAGATAGATATAGACAAATGTATACATAAATGATCAGGATGAAAAGAGAAATCGATTAAGCGGTGACTGTCTGTCCGTCCGTCCGTCCGTCCGTCCGTCTGTGCACACGATAACTCGAGTAAAAATTGAGAAACGAAACTTGGTATGTGCACTTCTTTCGGGCGTAGGACGGACGGTATTGAAAATGGGCAAAATCGGACAATAACCACGCCTACCTCCCATATAACGGCAATTTTCAGAAATACGAAAACTACGATATTTTAGTAACTACTAAAGATTATTCACTCAAAATTGACATTTACAATAAGTTTTAGACGAAAAATAAGAATATTATAAATTTTTGGAAAATGGGCGTAGCCACGCCCACTTATGGTTACATGTGTATATCTTGGTAACCGCTGCACCAATTCCTTCCAAACTTGGCACAGTTGTTAACCTTGGTATAACATACGAAATGGCCGTATAGGACAATAACCACGCCCACATCCCATAAAACGGTAATTTAGAGAAATACGAAATCTTCGATAAATCAGTAATTATTGAAGCTATTTTATTAAAAATTGATGCTTGCAACAATTCTTTACCAAGAAATACGTTTAGGATAAAATTTTGAAAAATGGGCGTGGCACCGCCCACTTATGATCACATATATGTATCTCGGTAACCGTTCTACCAATTTGTACCAAACTCGGTGTGGTTATTGTACTTGCCACATAGAAACAAAACGTTGAAAATTATTGAAATCGAACTAAAATTACGGCCGCTTTTCATATAACAGTATATTTCAGAAATGCTTGAATCTTCAATATTTCGAAATTTAAGGACGCTAATTCACTCAAAATGGATACACCCCGGTTTACCATGTAGCAGTAGCTTTCGGAAAGGTGAAAAACATATATTTTTACCCAAAAAAGGGCTCATTCTTAACAAAATACCGTATATAACCAAGATTCAAACTTTGTACAAAATTTAAAAAAATCAACAGTTTCTTCAAATTTTCGCAATTTTTATTCACTGTTTTCGGGCACATAGTTTCTTAGCAAATTCAATTCTAAAGTGCAAGTTTGAAGTGCCTACAAAATATTGTCAAGTTTTGGCAATTTTTTCTTGCTGACGGTATTGTCCGTTTTCCTCCATATAAAAAAAATTGTCGATCATACTTCGTATAAGCACTTGCTCACCCTTTGGTCTTGCCTGATCATAACACTAAATTGCCAAGAAACTTGAGCAAAATCTGTGTCAACTACTTTTCGCCAAAAAAAATTTTATGTGCGTTAAATTGTAGATTGAATAGAACATTTTGAGGCGCCGTTTAACCTAATTTTTTTGTTACAAGTGCAACATAAAAATAGCATTTGAACAACAAAAGCAAGAGCTACAGCAGCACGACCATTCACACCACGGTGTCAACCAAAATACATATCGTCGATGTTTTTGTAAAACCGCCCATCGCCCAAGTGCAAAACCGCCTATCTTAAGGCACTCAAATTTTGCGGGAAAGCGAAAAAACGGTTTATTCTTTGAAGGCATTGCCTTGATAGTAGAGCTGGAAAACTATCGATGGTCGTGGTCATCGATGGTTTCGATAGTTGATAATCCCAACCAGGGTTGTTGCGAATATTTTTCCGAAATAAAAGTCCTTTTCGCATAATAAACAAACCGCCTGTCCAAATTAAACCAATTTGGTATCATATGAAATATTAAATTTGGTATGATATCATAGCATTAAACAGAAATAGCGAACGACCTATATTTATATTTTTTTATAATTTAATAGTAAAGAAATCCATATACCTGACACATGATTTGTTTTATGGTAATTAATTAAAATTTTTTATTGAAATATTTTTCTATATGTGGCTTTCTTCGTTTAGACATTTCAGTTTTAAAGCTATTTAAATCCTCTTTCATTTGATACCGAACTTGTTTAATTTGGATAAGCGGTTTGTTTATTATCCGGAAAGAACTTTTATTTAGGAACAAAATTCGCAACAACCCTGATCACAACCATCGATAGCATCGATACTATCGAAAATGTCGACACTATCGATAGTTTTGAATAAAACAGTCCAAAAATTAAACATAACATCTTTTATTGAAAACGAGATCAGAATTGCTAAAATATGACGATATTTTTTTTAAGGAACAACGACTTTTAGCTTCAAATAGCATCTGCGCTCTGAAATATGAATGTTACTAAATAATGTATATATGAGTGAAAATTATCGATAGTGCTTACAAAACCATCGATACTATCGATAGTGCCATCGATAGTTTTCCAGCTCTACTTGATAGGTGGTATTTTCTCTAGCTATTATTTTACAAATCTGTTGTTATAATAACGATTTAACGACTTTTATGCATAAATCTCGATGCTGGAGTTCAGGGTTACCAAATCTCATTTTTGCCACAACGGCGATTTAGGCGGTTTTGCAACTGGTCGATGGGCGGTTTTGCAAAAACATCGACGATATGCAGGTATGAACACAGTTGGCGGACACCTAAAATATTCAGCATTCAAGCTGCGGGGAAAAAAACAACGCAGCACTAACGCAGTGTATCGCATGCTCATCGTAAAGGCTGGTTTTCATTATATCATATTTTGACAACAAATTTTGTCAACATATTTTGACACAACTTTATCTCCTTTTCCCATACCATAACCGATTATATTATGGCCTAAAAATGGACAGATCGCCAATTTAGCAGCACATGTACACGACTGAAGGCCTTTTCTTATCTAAGTAAATCAATCGATAAACCATTATTCGGCAATGTGTTTTCACTTATTTGACGATTTGAATTCTACTGAAATTGACATAATGAAAACAAGCCTTAATACAGGCACATATGGCACCAGGGAAGCCAACTAATTTTTGAGTTCTACCCGATTTCGTCGATGAAATTAACCGATTTCGCACGAAGTTTCATAAAATCTCAGTACATATGTACATATTTACATAATACTCGATAAAAATCTAACACTTCCGAGGAAAAAGTTTGAAATTTAGGTGAAAATTTGTTGCACTTTTTTGAAGTTTTCTACAAATTGTTAAACTTGGATTTATATGGGGTTTGTTAGAGAAAGAACTGTATTTTAATTGAAAATTCTCAAAAATAAATAAATAAACATAAGTTGCGCACAATATCACTTTGAAATGGCGTGCTATAGATATGACCGATGTATACATATATAGCCCATAGGCAACTGATAGTAACAATTTTCGCTTCAACTTGGCCAGTTGCGGCTTCTGGGCCAGTGTTGCCAGAACTTTTTGGGCCGACCGGCTAGATTGGCAAAAAAAAGCGGCTAAAATGTTTTAGTGAAAATTCACATGCTTTATTTAAATAAATCACAAGAAACGAAAGACTAGTTAACACCATTAATTTATATCGAGTGTATATTCCTCATCATCAAATGAATCACTATTGTATATATCACCTGAATTCATTAATTTTAAGAGATCGTCATCTACAGTAAAATTATGGCAGCATTTTTCTTCAAGTTTTAAACCGTATCTTATATATGTATAAAATAGCGTTTAACGTTTTAACGCACATTGGATTTCTTTGCTTAGTTTTTATTGTATTCATTGAACTAAATATTCGCTCTACTTCTGCATTACTTATAGGCAAAACAAGAAAACTAAAAGCTAGGTTGGAAAGGTCAGCAAAAGGGTTTTCTCCTAGGGCATTTCGAAATTGATAAACTTCGGCCCAAAATTTTACAGTTGAGTCTAAATTACTCCAGGTATGTAACGTTAACCGTTGCCATTGCATCTCTATGGATGTTATTTCGTCGGCATTATATTTGTTTTTGTTGCTGTAGTTGAACAAATACTTCTGGTTTAATTACTCTTAATGCATTTCCAACCGAAAAAAGTCAATTTTTTTAGTGTGGCAATATTTGGCGTAATTCCTTTATTAAAGTGATAATAAAATAGCGACCATTTTCTCGAATTATTTTCTCGGCTTCGTGGTCAAAAGCGTTTGTGCTTACTTTTGTTTTTAAATACTCTTCAAAACTGTGATAAAACTGACGAAATGGAGCAAGGTATGGTTCCAACGGGGAGCATATAGGATCAAATGTGTCCGCGCTAATAACCACTAGGGAGCATAGATGCGAAAGTAAAACATTGAGTTCATTAAAAATTGGGTATGCATTATTGCTTTCGAACAACTTGTTTACTTTTTGCACCTGAAAATTAGGCAAATAGTAAAATCGGCTAAAAACGGCTAACTTTTTTTTACAGACCGGCTAACAAATCGGCTGCCGGCTAGATCGAATTTTCTCCGGCTAGTTGCTATCAAAACCGGCTAAATCTAGCCGGAAAACGGCTAAAATGGCAACGCTGCTTCTGGGCGAGCGAGAGTGTATGCGTGCACCTTTTAGGCCCGTCTGTGTATGCCACTTCTTGGCTGGCACGGTTCCGTTTCTGCTGGCATTGCTAATACATATGTATGTATGTACTACATACTGCGCAGCTAGCCATCGCCAAACTGCCAACAATTGCAGCAATTTTTCGCAATGAGCAGCGACAAAAGCAAAATAAAAAATACTAACTACTTCACCCAGCCGCAACAGCAGCGAATTTAAATTTGAGCGTTAGTGTTGTTGTTGTGGTGGTGAAATTTAGTTGCACGCAATTTTTAAAAAAGGAAATAGTGAAAATAATTGAAAATAAGCTAATATGCAATGTACATATGCATATACATGCGTTGCATTTATTTTTGCGACAATAACCCACAAATTTTCGACTACAATTTGCAAGTAAAGCGCAAATAAGCGAAAATTTGCAAATTGTAACATTGTAAATTGCAAATAAGTATTTTGCAGAATTTTGATTTTGATCAGAAACGAAATTCTTTTACGCCACATTTCAGATGCGACATTGTGACATACATAAATTATGTTTAAATGCCAAATACATAAATAGTACATATGTGTAAATATGACGAATATATAATTGCCTGCGTAAAAACATTTACATATAAGCAAAAATACTATATTTAGCTTTGTGGGTAAAGCTGAGATAAAATTTTGTATTTAGCAGTGTATAGTGGGAGGAAGAAAAAAATCAAATGCATACTAAATAAATACTAAAAAAAATATGTAATTAAAGTTGTTTCTAATCTCAAATGTAATGTGGTGAAGAAGAGGAGGAATAAAGAAGAAAAATTGTTGATTACAGAAGGTGAAATACAATCAAGTGAAACAAAATAAACAAATCCTCTGCTCAAAACCTTGAAAGAGAAACTAAACAATTAAAACCAACTACAATTTAGTAAAACTGGAAAATTCACTCAACACTAAATTTGAACGTGACTTTATGAAAGCAGTGTTGGCGTCTACTTTCGGCGTCAAAGGTGAGTTTAGTTTTGTAACGAGGACACACATGCATATCTATGTATCTATGTATATTTTTTCAAAAAAAAATATCAGAAAAATTTTCGATGTGAAACATTAATATGACAATACGAAAGAAGTTATTTTTTAACTTTAACCAAGAAACTTTTTTTTAGTCTGCTTCAAAATCAATGTGAAACCGGCGAAAACAAAAGAAGTTGTTTCCGATGGCAAAATTTTTACTTGAGTAGGTTTCGCAGATGGAAGTCAAGCTACATAAAACCAGTGCTTAAATTTCTCGAATCCAAATAAATTATCGCTCAAAATGGAATTAAGAAATTAGATGAACATACTAAAACAGTTTATTTATACATACTAGTGTTCGCCCAGCGGTTGAAATTCAACCGCTAAAATAACGGATAGTTAATGTGAGTTGAGTTGAGCTGAAATAACATTAGTGTAAATGGGTTAAGTGGAGGGGAGTTTAGCTTAGTACTTAACATAACATATCATAACATAACATACCACAACATAAGATTAAATAACATAACATATGTAGCATAACACACCACAATATAGCATCGCACATTCTTCAGTTGTATTTCCTTTTTATCCCTATCACTTTCTTCCTCTCTATCTTTGTCTCTATCGCTTTTAATGTTTATGTTTATGTTTATTTTCCCCTTCATGTTCATGTTCATCTTCATCTTCATCTTCATCTTCATCTTCATCTTCAT